AAAAAAAGACATGGCATTATGCAAAATTAGAGAGATATAATCAAGCTGCCACATCAGTAGTTATTCAAGGCCCTGCGATTGGTGTAGAGCCGCAGAGCGGACAACAGTACAAACATCACACCAAAATCACGCTCTTTACAATAACGGTTGACAATGGCATTCTATAAGCTGTATTATGTGGACATGACAGGGAGCAATTTAGCCGGTAGCCTTGACAAACCTCATTATGGCACGATGACGGGGTGGAAGCAACGGAAGTGAAAATTGACGAACATCTGATTGACGCGTTCGCTTTGTGGTCGTGGGAAGCACGAAGCAAACTGCCCTCGTCATAGTTCTACGATACACTTTTTGCGAACGTAATTCGGGAAATAGCGTCCCTTTGTTTGTTAGTCGGTTCTCGATACGTTTATTTATAGAAGCATTGTTTTGACAAGTTCAGTGATTCCGCTGTGGGAATATCTGTCGTTGTAAATAGCAATCAACTTGATACCTTATGATTATGTTCTTTGTACCCATTTGTTCTCAGCTTTTTCATTTTTTTTTGGTGTATTGAAATGTTTTTCGTTATTTATATTGCAAGCGATTAAGTGTATGGACACACAGGTAGTATACAGTATTTAAGGATGCAAGAATTAGGTAGTAACACAGCTACAGTGCAGACATTATAGGAAACAGAAAGGTTAAACAATATTATACCTATAACACAACGAGAGACACCCACTCCAGTTTGGCCTATGCTAACATTTCTTGGTAATCTTTATGAGATCGATACTGAGAACAATATAAATATAAGGAAAACCGCTGCCATTAAGTATTCTAGTACTAGTACAAATATTGTATCCTATTTGACACATATGGCTTCGACTTAAACTGATAACTTTATTTCATGTTATTTTGCCGGAATAATCTTAGAACGTGCTTTTAAATATCCTTGGAAACATAACAGACTTCTAGGTAGACGCAGGACATTTTTATCTCACGTCTTGTTGACAACATGGTTGCGGTATGCAGTGTCGACATTGCTTTATATTATCATTTTAGGAGCCAATGTTTTAGCGCGGAGTACACACTGAGGGCCACTTTAACTCAGTCAGCTTGTTGTAACAAATGCTTAAAGTTCCACAAGAGATTTTCCCAAAGCAGTATATTTATGTGTAATTAAATTAAATTAAGTCCAAATTGTGTGCTATATCTAGAAATTTTCAAAACTTACTCCAAATTAGATTTCGATCTTAATATCAAGATTGAGACTCTAACATCATCATAATCCTCAAAATCCTATACTCAACCTCTGCCGGACATAGATCACTCCTTAGGCTCTGTATTGTGGCGCAATCATTGTGTTCCCTTAAAATCCTTACAACTGCAACAGGTACCAACCATTTACTTTAAAACACTAACTATTCCGTTTACTAAGATTTACATGACTGAGTGCTACGTTCCACACATATATTAAAAACAGTGTATGTGCCTAATTGTATATGCCATAAATAAGGACTGGATACGTATCTTTCGATAAAACTTTATTTGTTAAAGTACGGTATGGGGAGCAGCATTCGTACATAGGTTGAATAAACTCTTTTTAATGAATTTCTTAACTTATTACTATGAAGGAAATTATAACGTACTGCACAATAACAACAGGTCATTACTTGGCATCTTATTATTACATACGCTTTGTAATGATCAATGATCACGTATTCTTTAACGTGACTATGTATATCATCTCAAAAACAATTTAAACTGTCAAACACCAAGCGGTCACCGGTGACCGCGACCTATTATTGTTCTTTAATTGTGTCTATAAAACCGGTACTCGACGAGTTAATATTTGTTCAAAAATTCTTAACTTCTAAATTGAAGTCACAAAAACAGTTCGACATTTATTTTATATAACAGTTTTTCTTTATTGAATACCTGTCATGTAATTTTCCTAGGAGGATAAGAAAGTGTACAATCCATTATGTTTTATTAACATTCATACTTCATTCTACCCCGTCAAGCGAGTATACACGTCAGAGTACTACTCATAACTCGAAATGAAAGTGGGCAGATCAGTTTTTGGCCTTTCTAGACATTTAACGGCAGTCGCGAATTAAAAATAATTCTTTTATAAACTACGTTTAAAAAAACCGACTTCAACCTTATCTTTCTAGAGGAACCAAGCTCTTTTCTCTTTAACATGCTAAAACCTGCTCCTAAATGTAACAAACACTTTTCTGAAATCCACATTAAAATCGGTTAAGCCAATCGTGAACAAACATACCTGCTCCTCTTTTTGAGAACCTCCTTTTTTTGAACTCGATTAAAATTAAAATAAAATCCAAAATGGCCGACTGACATATCCGGAACAATGATTAAAGGACCGAACATACTAATCACGTGTCCGTAGCAATCACATGTGATGACGTATTCTTCAGCACGTACTGTTAACAAATATACGATGAGAAGAATCGGATAGAACAATGGGTCGACATTCATTAGAACTATAATCCAGTTATTATCTACCCAGTCGTAGCAGGCGGAAAACTATTAGGAACACACTTAGCTATTGTGTTCTACCCCTTATTCATAAACACAGATTATAAAAGTTCCATAAATAATGCAAGTCGTTATCGTTATTAAAATTTCCTCATCATTTGATTGGAGGAAAATCACTGGTTAGTAGAATTTATAATGTTAATGGAAGACAGATATATTATGTCCTCAATCATTATCAAACTATTACTATTTTGCATAATGAATTATATTTTAATATTTATTCTTCGATAATATATCTTTAGTTTATTAAGAAATGTCTTTTCTTTGGAAAATTGCGAAACATAACACATTATTATTAGTGTACTAAGTGACAAACACACGATTACCAGACAAGGATTTTAATCCAAACTATCATGTGTAAGGCTCTTAATATAAACTGTTGCAATAAGCTGTTGGTTTTTAGGAAATGAACTTTAAAGTAAAGAGGGTAAATAAGGTAGTTGTACAAAGTGTTAGTATTCTGCAAGCCGTTGCCTATGTATGCTGTGTTTACAGTGTACGTCCACACTTGACAATGAGTACAGGCAACAATAACTCGTGTTACAAATTTAACAACAAACAGACGCTGTACGCTGTCATTAAATTGCACAATGGGGCATTCGATAGCTATTCGATTTGGGTGTCTACTACATGACCGGAATACATGCGAACTCATTTCGAAATGAACAGCGCTGGCGCACCACAGTCTCCTTTTAACTGTAGTAAACCTTCCTTGTACAAAAACAAACATTTTTTGTATAAAATTTGGTTGTCCCCTATTAAATTATTCGTATTTTTTTTATATTTTTTATCTAACAGTAGGTGTACTTATTCGCTAGTCATCAAATTTATGTAAACGTTTATCGTTAGATAAAATAGTCGATCACATTAAACATAATGGCAACATCAACTTATTATCTTCGGACATCTTTATTTATATTATGTTATAAAATATGAGTATGAATAGTCTAATAGATATTGGAGGACGATCGCTGACTCACTTTTGTGATTATTCATGAAACACACATGTACATATGTAACTAAAAAGAAACAGGTGCAATCACCATCAATACATTCGCTAAAACAAATATATCGTATATATCGTCGTCTAAAGAAAAAGTTGAAGATGTTTATAATAGATGTTTAATATATTCATTGAAACGTATCCGCCACGTTGGCCTTTCCTCCATTTAGTCGCGCTCTCCGTGTCAGGTACTCGGTACGCAATTAAACCTCGTAACTGCATACTAAAAGATGGCATTCAAATAACTATAAAAGTAGTTTAAGTATTTACCTATATAAGACGACTGCCCGATAAGATAGAGTCAATGCTAACGACGTAACAAAGGATATTTTAGATAATAACTTAAGGTAAATATACGTATATTGTAATGACTCGGCACCGCACGCTGCGCCTTCGCCACCAAATAGACTTATATCTACGCGCCGTGTAGTACAAGCGTGGCTATATGTAGAGGGGAATATTTGTAAACTCCGCTCGTTGTTTTCATAATTCGTGCTGTAGCGTCCTGGTGTCGGTGACCGATAGCGACTGCTGACAATTGTATTGACGGATGACTACTACAAGAACTTTCTTCACGCTTTATTCAACTGACATTTGCACAAGGGGACACTAAATACCAGATGTTCTCATTATTCGAGTCAGTATTAACACAATGAAAGGCTCCAGACAACTTCAAAAGGCATCTCTCACCTAGAGGTTACTGCTAAAGGTATCAATAACCTGTAATTTAGTTTCGACTGACGTCAGTCATATAAAAACAGACGCTATTTTGAAGCTGTAGTTTTTCAGTTGGGAGGCGCACTCGGTGTAAACGTGATGATTATGTCATGACGAAATCCAACTAACAATAGGGCGATATGTACTCAGTCGAAGTTGGCCATTGTAGTGCTGTATGCGGATCAAATTGTAATTTTCACAAAAATCTTCACCGAACGGCGTAGTAGACACGCTTTGTATAGTACTGATTAGGCGAGATTAATTCGCGTACTATTTTGGAGTACACTTTGCAAATACCAAGATCGCGACGTAATGGACATAGTCGGACAATCACCCAAAAAAATTACAACCTACCAAATATAAATGAATTGAACAAACCTTTTAAATTCTCGACATCCAAAATACACTAAAATAAATCTCAAAAATCAAGAATATCAATCACGTTAGGTTTTTGTAAACATGCTACATGAGTTTTTAAGTCCCATCCGCCGTCTGCATACCAATATTTTCGTGTTCAACAATAAAATAATTATGTTTAATACGAACAAGACTGTACAGTCACTACAAAAAAATTAAGGTTCTATAAAACATGCAAAATGCGGAGAGTTCGTTTCGTATTTGAATATTGTACAGGTTTAGTTTGCGTACAAAAACTGTTTAGACATACGTCTATAAATTGAAATACCTTTATATTAATTGTTTCTTTTTGTTCTTAGGGCAACAGGAGAACCACGGCATGACGGCTACGCACGGCGGCGGACGTGAAGATGATCGTCCGGACAAGGATTCCGTGTACACGATCAAGACAGGATTCAAGAACGACGGCTACCAACACGACCGCGACTCGAACGATGACATTGTCAAACCCCCACCTCTACCGGCTGAAGACGACAACTACATGTCCGGAAAAGTTACATTAAGCGTTAACGAAAAATGGAGAATACTAAAGAACATTGCAGCAGTCAGTGCAGCGTTTATGATCCAATTCACCGCCTTCCAGGGAACTGCTAACTTGCAGTCCTCAATAAACGCCGCTGATGGCCTCGGAACAGTTTCACTCAGTTCGATTTACGCGGCGCTCGTCGTCTCTTGTATATTTGTACCCACATTCCTAATTAAGAGGCTAACGGTCAAATGGACCCTGTGTATATCTATGATGTGCTACGCCCCTTACATCGGGGCGCAATTCTACCCAGCGTTCTACACTCTCGTGCCAGCGGGTGTAGTGGTGGGCTTAGGAGCAGCGCCTATGTGGACTTCGAAAGCCACATACTTGACGCAAGCAGGAAGTGTCTACGCGAAGCTGACTGATCAAGCCGTTGATGGTATTATTGTCCGATTCTTCGGCTTCTTCTTCCTGGCTTGGCAAACAGCTGAGCTTTGGGGCAATTTGATCTCCAGTTTAGGTGAGTCCACTTAGTTTTTGTTTCGTACTTATTCTATACTTAAATTATTTTTAAAGTTGCTGAATATACATATATATTTCAAAAAAGAACTTGATAAAAACTTGAGTCATAACTAAGGCTCTGATCATATCCTTACAAATGCAGCACCGTCCTTTCTTCGACAGTATTTTCTTCGGGAGTCCACAACACCAGCTCGACAACCGATAACACGAGCAAGACAGTTCTGACTTGCGGAGCTAACTTCTGCATGATTGGAGGTGGTCACCATGACAACCAGAACCTGCACCGGCCGCCAGACAGCGAGATATATGAGATCAGTGCCATATACCTTGCCTGTGTCGTCGTTGCCGTACTTATGGTGGCACTTCTAGTTGACCCCTTGTCAAGGTAATATTAGTATTCATTTCTATCTTTGTACCATTTTTTTTTATTTTGTAGAGCGTCCATAGAACAATTCCAAGTTAGTGTTTTGGATATCCTATAGCTCCCTTAAACCATCTCTTAAAAAAGTTTCTTAACGTGGCATAACACTAAACTAACTTTTTACTTGTACTTTTAGGTGTCACTTATAGTGTCATTCATACCGCCACCTATTTTACCTTCGGAGTTCCTACATTTAAGAGAAGTTAGTGAAAATGGGCGTTAGGCCATCTAATATTATCTACTCTTTGTTATTCTGCTGAGACTGATCATGACAATTTAGCATTAAACGGCATTGCCATTTTTTTGCAAAACATCAACGACATAGTAATTTGTTACTTAGTTACTTTGTATTCTAAAGGCACTTTCCCACGGCACACAGCATTTTCAAATATATCTAGTGTCATTTATTATTTCTTTTTGTTTATACAAATGTCTGTGTTCTCCTCTAGGGGCACGAATTGTTTAGGTTCCCGTGGAAAAAAAATCTAAATTTTAAAATCGGTTAAGCGACTTAATATTTCAGTGACACTCCTTAGTTCGTCTGTATTTATACGGCAAGAAGTTGTGGAAAGAATAAAGTAAACAATACCTACCACTTAGAATTTTATTATTATTATTATGTGTCTTCATTAAAATTGTATTTTTTTATTCAGGTATGGTGAAAAGCAAAGAAAGTCTGACCCCTCAAAGGAGCTGACAGGAATCCAGCTGCTGTCTGCCACCGCTTACCAATTGAAGAAACCAAACCAACAGTTGTTGATCCCTATTACATTATGGATCGGAATGGAACAGGCTTTCATTGGGGCTGACTACACACAGGTATGTACAAGTTAATAATTACCTATTTCATAGTTTACTTAAAGGTTTAGGCTACCAATCCTATGACTCAATAATAAAATATGTATCTTGCAAGCCGATTACTATGTATATGTAGGTAGAAGTTATGAACTATTGATAAAACCTTATAAAATGGCTTAGTTCAACTGACTGTAACCAAACCATGAACAAATTCGAGTCTACCTCATTCATTAAAAATAATTCCTAGAATTCATTTACCATTGTCTTAGTGGTAATATCGCAGACAGTACTCCATGATTAAATCACAAAGTCAAATGAATTACACTAACAAACGGAAAACAACAGATATTGTTATTTTTCTTAATAATCAAGTAAATATGAGTCACTGTGTAAATGGTCATTCTTGTAGACCCAATTTGAATTTCAGACAACATGCCTCAATATTCAATAGATACTTACTTAGAAAAAGTCATTACGGACTATATAAATGGGTACTATTATAAATCATGATGGAATAGCGGGTCAAATCAACTACTGCTAGAACTCCTCAAAAAGATCCATACATTTCATTATTAGCCTTGCATAGAAACTCATCTGAGACTGTAATCACGTGTTCAAATTAGTATTGAACATTTTTTGCGACAGAATGACCTCTAGTGTTAGTTACGAGTACCGTTATACATAGGATGTTAGGTAAATGAGTTCTATTCACTTGAAACGGAACAGCTACAAAGTTTTTTACCTTACAGCGCACGCAAAGTAGTGTAATGTTTACCAATGTTATGTAAAATATACGGTGAACGTAGAATATTGCAGAATAATCTTTATTGTACAGGTACAGTGCTCAAATTTTTTTTAACCTTCATAAGATTGGTTAAAAATCTTAAGTCTCCTAAAATTAATGCAAGAAAAAAGGGGATCGCATATATCATTTAAATGTGTTTGCATAATTTTGCTAAATAAAACTACATCATAAAACTCAAACTAAATAAAACTACATCACTCCCTGATGCATGAAAATTACAACAAGTAAAAAATAGAAATAGGTAAGCGGTACGAAACGCGGATAAGATGAACAATTTTATTTTAATGTGGATTAGTAAGATATTAACTCGTCGAGTACCGGTTTTATAGACACAATTAAAGAACAATAGGTCGCGGTCACCGGTGACCGCTTGGTGTTTGACAGTTTAAACTACATATGAAATGCATCCTTGTTCTAGGCATACGTCTCCTGTGCGCTCGGCATCCGTTCAATTGGCTACGTCATGATCTGCTTCGGAGTAGTCAATGCCATCTGCTCCCTCGTCTTCGGTTCTGCCATGAAGTACATCGGCAGATTCCCGATACTTGTGATGGGAGCTGCCCTCCACTTGGGTCTGATCGTCTGGCTCCTGATTTGGAAACCCAGCCCCGAGTCCCCAACGACTTTCTTCATCATTTCTGGTCTTTGGGGTGTTGGTGATGCTGTATGGCAGACTCAAATCAACGGTTAGTGAACTTCATTTTCAAAGTAATTTCTGTAATGTATTACGTCTTAAGATATTGCGAATACCATGTTTATAAATCTCTATATTATTTAATTAATTCTATCGAACCTAAGGAGCATCCTCATAAATATCGTAGGTCACGCTAAATAGACAAATGTAAATGTAATGTAACACGACAATTACTCCTCAAGTATGTTCATAAAGTATTTATAAAGGTTCATAAGATCAAGTATAATGTTAAGGATTGCAACAGTCCTGTTACTCTTGTAGGAATATTCGTTTTGTTGTTTATTATTTACCTATTAGAGCTAAAAATATACTTGGTATTAATAAAACTAGACGGTCTAGAAAATAAAGGTGGTATTGCTAAAAAACATTTGTTGGGTTATTTCGTCATAGCATTCAATATACATTGTACACACGGCCACACATCAATCTATACAAAACCAGTTTATCCTGGTGTCGCGTCGCATTATCTTTCCGCACATTTAACGTTCAGTTTATACTAGTTATGTAAAGCTCGATGTGAAGCCGTGTGTACCTAAATGTAGCATTTTATAAACAATAGCATCAAAGGGTTTTTTTGTTGTGTATTGTCTCTTTTTTATTTCTTAATATTTGATCATTCTACCAAATTTAAAGTTTAGTACTGAAGATATCTGTATAAATAGAGTATTTTAGATGGAATAAGTACTTATACGATGGGTATATTTCTTATAGTTTTGTGAATGAACCTTTTTATTCGTCCGTGATCATCCTTAGCTTGCAACAGTCGATTAAATTTTATGCTATGCTAGCTCAAATTATGTATAAGACATGAATATGTATTGTGGTATAGCAGATACAATTTATTGCTTTATGAATTAGTTTTTTCCTTACTGTTGTGGGAACTTAAGATGTAAAAACGTTACTTGATCATTATCAGTTTGTGCGAATTATGCGCAGACTTCTTCATATAAGAACAGCGTTTAGTTTTTATTAATATTGTTATAATAGTACATGGTCTACAGAACAAAGAAAAATTAATAATCAAATAAATCCTGTCTTCTTTTATATGCTACGTGGTAGGGTTATGTGTTTTCAAAAATATATTGATACAAGTAGTCTACAATTATCTTATGTTATCTAAAACCTTTGATATACAAAATGGAACACAATAGTTCCGCATCATAATTTTCTTAATTAAAACCTATTTTTATAAATGTCCAACTACAAATGGGGCCATATCGTAAGATTTGGCAATGCGCTCCCAAAAATCATACAACCAGGACCACTCGTTGAAATCTTTTCTTCCCCGAAAATTTTCACAATGTCACGGAGAATTATCCGTAAGAATTATCCGAATTATCCTTAATCACAACTTTAGACAACCAACTCATATTTATTGTTTTGATATCTTTGTACAACATATCAAGATTTTATATCTATTTTTAATACTATATTGATCGATAATTTCCATTATCTTCTGAACATAATTATCTCCGAATAATCAGTATATCCTCTTAAAAATTTAGTTATTATTGCAATCCGATAAAAAAACGGCTTATAAAATGAAAACTTTATATGCACCTATACCTTTTGTGCTGGTTTACCTACGTGTTCGTTACGCCTTAAACTGGTTTCAAGATTCATTTACGAGGCAAAACCATTATCTCCGAAAACCATAAAGGATTAGGAGCTGAATTTAAAAAAAGAAATAAAAATTGTATCTCGATCGTAAAGGATAATCGAGACATTAGGCATTTGGCTGTTTTCCTTATTAGCCTTCAAATTTGACTGGTGAGGTTAAGGGCTATAGTTACTGAATGATTTTTTATATACTTTTCAAGGAAACTTTCGAATTTCACTGACTAACTGACCCGGAAAACTTCATACCGCCTAAAAATCTTTTTCTTTTCCATTTGAAACCTTCCCCTTGACTTCCACGAACATTTCGAAGACCAAAATCAGCCAAATCGGTTCAGACGGTCTCGAGTTTTAACCTAACTAATAAAAATTCATTTTTATTTATGTAGATAAGTTTTCTTTGTTACAAAAAGATACTTACTTAATGTTACCCAATTTCTTATCATCTTTGCCACACATCAATAATATGTTGGTAATAATATCTATGTAAAATTAAATAACTGTCGATCGGGAACAGATCCCACGCAATTGTAAAAAACCCAATCTCATAGCCACTACGCTAATACCTACAGCGTAATGCATAAAAACTATTTTATCGCTTCGCTTCTTCCATAACACGTGAATAAAACACGTTTTTATCAGTCCGAGGAGCCTTATTCTATTAGTAATTGTTTCTCATGCATTCCGCCATTCAACTAATAATGTAATTAAAAATTACGTGCACCATCTGCATGAGTCAATTTCATTAGCTATGTACAAATATGAACATCTTGTTTCAACCGAGACTTTCCAAACCAGACTCAGGCTTATTTACCTCTACATTTACCACTATAAACTCTCCAGAGTACATTTACTGGAATCTCTGCATAAACAAATACCGATTTGTACATAAATTCCACGTTACAGTCAAAGAAATTTCATTATAATGCGCAACGTGTTAAAATGAATATCAGTCAATTATTTTCGCTCGAACGATGGAAAAAAGTGAATTAGTGTGTACCATGAATAAATCGCCTGGTATTGACCGGTATCAACGAGTTTATGACGTATGTATGTAATTGCAAACTTGCGTACACAACAACACATTATAATAACTACACGCATGTTATTCCCCGCGCACTAGGAGTAGACTGAGATGAACCTACGGTATTACTACTTCTGTACAATTATGTTACTGTCCCATTGTTGTAGTGGCCCTGATTCTAAGCCCATCAAATTGTCCATATCCGTATGTATCTGTATTAATGATAAATTCATAGTAAAAATTATTGTACCTATTTGAAAGGGTCATGCTGTAGTTTTGAAATCAACCTAGATAGGTTTTATACGTGGTAGCGCTACGTTTCAGATATACCTCTATATTTTATCTCTTTTAAAAAGAGTGGTGTACAGTAGGATTATCTGTTGTGTCGTATATAATTATTAGCTTTATTTTTTTTTTTTTCTTTAACTAAAACATTGCCCCACACTAGGATTTTCTCCTGTGTCGTGGGTGCGTTTACAAACATACAAGTTCACATACACAATGACACCCAGACCCGAAACAACAATTTGTGGATCACACAAAGTGTTGTCCCGTGCGGGAATCGAACCCGCGACACGTTGCACGTTGCACGGCCGGTTGCCCAGCCACCGCACCAACCGTGCAGTCATACATTATAAATAATAACAATATATTTCTTTATCATTCCAGGGCTATACGGTGTTTTGTTTAGACGTAACAAAGAGGCTGCGTTTTCCAACTACCGTTTGTGGGAGTCTGCTGGATTCGTCGTCGCATATGCGTACTCCACACACCTCTGCGCCAGAATGAAGTTGTACGTCATGATGGTGATGCTCCTCATTGGAGTAGCTGGATACATCGTAGTTGAAATACTGCACAAGAGAAAGGTCAGTGTCATACACATTTAGGTACTATTTCCCTGAAATATGTTTATGATATAAAGTAAAAGATTGCTCTATAAAAATATAACACGTAAACCTTTGTTCCGATTTTCGTAATATTGCATTTGCTTGTTCTTTTCTACTGGTCTTCTTTTCATCAATCAGAGATAATGCACCATTCATTGGTGCGAAGTAAGCGAAGAACATAATTTTCAAGTACCTACCTAATATTTCAATGTTTCACTGTTGTGCTAATCTTCATAACATATTTTTGAGCCCAAATTGCATTAACATAAAATATGAATAGTCTATTGTCCACAAGGTGTTTATATAGCGTATCATAAAAGAGCTAATTTGAATAACATTTTTGGCCACAAATAACAGACTGTATAGATTTCGTGCGTAACTTCATTTTATATTTTGTTTCAAATTTCACACTAGTCAAAAAATATTTCTGTAAATACGTAGTTGTATAGGAAATCAGAAGCTGCGATGCAGATTTCTAAAAACTACTACGAACAACACCGTATTTAAGTACTTATAGTGTGGAAAATTTACTGTAACTTTATTGTTATGTTTTGTACTTAGGCTCGTCGTCTGAAAGCCATCGCCGAAGACCCGGCCATCGCCGCTGAGGCCGCTAAACAGCCACCAGAAGAAGACGATGAGAAGGATGAAATTGATGACGAAATCATCATTACACATCTGTAAGCCACTACCGACGGATAGCTGGGCACAGCGGCACAGCCCTACCCATAGCCCCCTAAAGTAATAACCGATGTCTAAATTCCAAGAACTACAGAGCCTCATCATCCCCAGGCTACCCCTTTCCCCCACACGCACATACATAATTTTGCCATACTTTTAGGTATGTACAAAATCAAAATGACATCCATATTTTAATCTCGAATGTAATTAGTGCTATTTATGTATCCAATAGGTAAGTTACTATAAGTTGAAAGAGGAGTGAAAATTTTAAAAGACTTTACAAGTACAAACATGTGGTGAAACCGGAAAACTGTTATTTGCTACTATTGTTACTGGCGACAACTGTAACGTGTGGCGAGGCCCATATTTTAACTATAAAGTAAATAGGAATCTCATTCAGTGTGGTGCTTCGAAGGTACAAATCCGTGTAGCGGAGGACTAAATAATCTCGTAATGTTTATGTTCGTATCTGTTTTTGGTAAAATTGAAGTTATAAAGTACACTATGTGGGCCGATCCTAGAGAGACAGCGCTTCTGACAGTCTTTAATAAATGCTATCCCGTTATTATATTATAAGTAGATTTTTTAAACTGTGAGATGAAAACATTATGCCATAGAAAAATTAATACAATCGGTTACAAAATGAAACATAAGTCAATTGTTATATTTCTTTTGCAAGAATACCGATATCAATGTTTTTAAATTTATAATTCGCAAATGATTGTTATCACCTGCCTTATTCGTCGATTGTCCAACGAAAAGAGGCGTAATTTAATGGCTACACCGATGTACAATGAATCCATCTGCTGTTTTTATTATTTTTGTATGAAACTCATTGCTAGCGTATGTTACTTGACTTCGTTGTCTTTAAATCTTTTTAACAATGTACATGGTTTAACGGAACCTGGCAATAATTTTATGTACGAATGACAATGATAACGATTGTAAGGTTGCTGCACATAGGAAATATTATAATTTCTACTACGCTGACGTTAATGTCATTATAGGATCCACACTCAATGTTGTAATTATGATCATTTTGCTTGTGTGTAACAAGCCTTACAAACTTTCTCAGCTAGACTTTAGTGACTTTAAAAATGATGTCGAAAATGTAAAAGGTCTAGCTTTGTAATTCCAAGTACTTACTGGCATATAGAGCGTGCGGGGTTACGATACTTTTCTATGTACGTCGCCCACCGCATCAAATATTTGATTAACTAAACATAATGCACGGTAGTGAACAACTGTTTGTGAAATTAATAAATTATTGATATTGTGACATTTTAACACTACATCTAATAATTTATGACCCACTAAATTCTGTGAATTGGTTGAAAGAATACATTTCTGAGTTTTAATTTGGTCGTAATGTCACCAGATGGTGTTAGGTACATGTTGTTTCAAATTACGAATTCACAATCTCTCGATATTACACTACGAACATAAACGGGGAAATAAACTTTTATTGTAATATAAATAAATAAGTACATGAACAAGTAGATGAGTAAATGGTGCAACTACATCACATGAAACAGTATTAATTAAAATTGAAATCAACGCCATCTGGTTCTGACATAAGAACTTATATCACAAAGTGAACATCGTGGTTAATCAATATTATATGTTGTTAATTATTGTTATAAACACATTGAGACAGCTAAGTGTCTTGTATAGACAATTTGTTTCTTTGGAACTAATATTGTAAAACACCTGCGATAGATTAGAACAGTGTTGGAAGAATCTGATCGTGAGGTAACTAGATCAAATGAATTAATATTATTTTTAATTATAGCAATATTATACATACGTAGATAAATTAAGCTTGTGTATACCTATTATCACATTGACGTTTAAAATTGTAATATTTTGCACAGTGTGTCGGTTGAGGAAAGTTTAGTTTTTTCACCATTTCACAATTTTAAACGTGATGGACAGTTAGTGTTATGAATAAGTATAATAATATATTAGCATGGCTGCCTACGAGTACGTCTGCATGCTTCAATATTTATGTTAGATTCTAAAACATATTTATGTCTACATATTTTATGGAATGCTATTAGGACTTCGACAGAATGAACAAACACAATATTATTAAAACAACAATAAAATTATTTGAACTACCTATCAATTATCATACAACAACTCAATTTTTTTGTAACAAAGCATTGAGTATTTTCTGTCGAGGTACTAATTCATAGAAACCTACCCACTATTTATTATCAGATTGCATCGGCTATAAGAATTCAATATGATGGTACAATTTTTAATTTTATACCCTGTCTTAGAACCGTTTCCCAACAAATAGTAGACAATGTATACAATAGGTAGGGTAACAAAACCACGTGATAAATTATATCAATAAAATGTAATTATATAAATAATGTTATGTAAGAATATATTAATGTAAATTAAAATTTGTTTAGTATTAGTTCGGTAAGGCTATTATAGTAAATAAATTTATTGCTCTATTTTTGAGATAACACTTTTTTTTTTGTTTGAATAAGATATTATGTTACCTACTTTAATAAAGATGTCATATGAGTTTGTGATGAAATAAACATAAAATTGTTTGGTCAATCAGATGTTTTACTACAACCCTTTATATTTAGGATTTTATCTAACATCTATCGGCTGACTGACTCAGTCAGCTATGTGACATTCTGTTATTCTAAACAACACGGCCGTTCTTTTTTTTTTTTTTAAACGTTGTCCTACATTAGGATTTTCTCCTGTTTCGTGGGTGCGTTTACAAACATACAAATTCACATACACAATGACACCCAGACCCGAAACAACAATTTGTGGATCACACAAAGTGTTGTTCCGTGCGGGAATCGAACCCGCGACACGCTGCACGGCAGCCGGTTGCCCAGCCACCGCACCAACCGTGCAGTCACTCTCAGTGCAGTCAGGCAATTATAAGAAAAACCACGTTTGAGTCGCAAGAGTTTATTTATATAAAAATTATAATTATACACACTTTAACCCTAGACTACACTTACAGTCGCGCGGTTGCCCGGCTAAAAAGGCTATGTCGACCCGGTCGCTCGAATTTGGGCTGAAAACCAACAAGTTGGGTTAGATCCGACGATCACTATTATATCAACACCTGAGGCTAGACTACATCTGCACTGAATTTGGGGAAATAATGATTATTATATATAGCAAATAATTGCTGATGTAGAATTTTGCGATTGACGTAAATCAATGCAGTTCTAACATACAGGCAATTTGGTATGCAGGTCATTGATGTAATAAGCATAACATATAATTTATTCAAAATTCTCTATAAATTACATTTTTAAATACTACTTACAAAACAAAAAATAATATTTTAAAATGTAAGAAATAGGAGCCGACCAGTAGCGGGAACATGGTCCAAGCTACCGGTGGTTAGGGCTCCAGAGACAGAAACCTCCTCACGATACGTGCTGTTTCTAGAAGAATTGCCTTCTGTATTGATCTATTGTATTTTTATCTTTAGTAACTGACTGCCTCGTTGGCCGAGTGGTCGCAAGTGCGACTGCCGGGCAAGGGGTCTCGGGTTCGATTCCTGGGTCGGGCAAAATATTACTGGGTTTTAAAAAAATCTCAGTAGTAGCACGAAGTCCTGAATTGTGCCCGGTATATGGCAATAGGCTCACCCCCTATTAAATGGGACTCATAACATAAATAGTGAAAAGTGGGTGTTACATTGTACAGTGGTATAATGTGCACCTCTGCCTACCCCTTCGGGGATAAAAGGCGTGATGTTATGTGTATGTATATATGTACAGGGTATGCATAATTCAGCGTGATGTCCAACAAAATTGCACATAATATAGTTTGACTGTTGGATCTTATTATTTTGTTTTATTGTATCGTGTTTGTAGTTTAAGTTAACGTAAATATTTATATAGGTACCTACATATTATAAAAATAGTTCATTACTGAACCATAGACCTAATCTATAAGAGAGGTTTGCTATAATCTACAAGCTGGTTGGCGAATCAGTTTTGAAAGTTAACCTTTTGAGCGCCAGGGTCACAAATACGTGACAAGCGAAAACTGTCCCTGAGCGCCAACGACACAAATATGTGACAAAAACAGCGGTACATTAAAACACGAAATAAACTATTTAAACATTACTTTAATGCCTATTTATTTATATATCTGTAAAATAGAAGGTCCAAAATTTATTTATTTCCATAAAACTAATTAAATTGCATTATAAATATTGAGAAATTTTACGTTAAAAAGAAAGAAATAAACTCTGAAAAAAGAATGTCCTCACACGCCAGAGTCATAACTGCGTGACCGCTAGTGATGTAGCGCATGTTGGATAATATCATTATTTCAAATCAAAGATCGATTCGAAACTTTCCTCTGGAATATATTATTTTAGGTATAATTTAGTACTAGGATAAAGCAGCATTAATTTTATAAAACCAGTCTTAAAAATCATTCAATAAGCTACATAGTCAAAAATAAAATTTGGTTGGGTCGAATTTCGATATTCACTAATCCCAACTCAAGCGCATCCCTAACGCAACCCGAATTATCAGTACCCTGTACGCCATGGTCACGACTAGACGACAAGTTCGTGACGTCACAAGCGCGGCGACCAGAAATTAGTGAAGTGAATGAATAATATTTATGATTAATTTACTTGTGATATCGAGTTCAAGATTTATATTAAGTGACTATTATAATGAGTGGGAATTTAATGACTACGGAAGAACTTCTTCGCATATTAGAAGGAGTCTCAGATGACGAAGAATTTTCGGAAACAGAATCTTTGGACGAATTTGATTTAGAGGTAATAATATATAATGGTTAATTGTTTTAATTTGTTACTTTTTTATGCCTGATAACACATGGCTTACTATTCGCTGGGTGCGCGATGACAGCGCCAACTAGCGGTCGGCGGACTCGGCGGACCTTGGTACGTCAAATAGTTGACTGTCATTGTCTTTACGAGGAGTAAGCAGTGAATAAAGCATGAAGGTGTAGGTAAAGATGGA